GTGGCAGTTATGTAAGAATGTTGGAGTGTTAGTACCAACAGGAGGTACTGAGGAGGTGAATGGCATCGTATAACTAGAAAGAACTGAAGATCCAATATTCTGACTGCACAGATGGTTTTAGACATCCAAAGACAGTGGCTTTAAAAAATTGAGTTATTTTGCCAATTCTGGAGTTATTGCAGCTTTCTTATATTTATTGTCTTAATGGAAAAGTGTTTGCTTTAATTATCTCCTATTGTAAACAGTTAATTAGACATTATATTTGAGTGAAGTCAGTTGCTGCATGGGTTGCGATTCTTTTCAAAGTTTTTTCTGATCAAAGAAACTAATAAAAGATTATAATTAAGTATAATTCTGAAAGAGATAATCTTTAGACTCTGAATGTGCTGTTTATCAGGGTTAAAACAAAGATAAATTTGGATATTGTTACTCTTTACGCTACTTACAGGCATTGGAGTTCTTCACTATGAACTATTATTTTCTAAACAATAGCATATGGGAAGATACTAGTACAATTAAATAAAATACTGATTAAATTACAGTATAATTATTATGAAAGGAGTTTTTCTCCTCTTGGAGCTGTCTTAGGACCACATTTATAATCCCGTTTTCTAAATATAAATAATATTTCAATCTTATTTTTAGAGTATTTTTTTTAATTAGGGTGTTTTTTTCACTTATATGAAATGCATTCCTCACTGAGACAAATGACCTAAACAACACAAGAGGAAAAAAACAACTTCAGGCTAGCTTTATGTCTACTTTATAATAGGTGTGTTACAGCAAAAGATGACCATCAGTGAGTCCCATAGCCAGAATCTCTCTGTTGCAAGGAAGTCTGACTTTACATCCATTGCTTTATTTTCTCCAAGTGAAGTGTATAATTATGGACCAATTTCTCAGAAGGGTTTGGCTATCATTTAGACACCAGGCTATGAATTGCAACAGATAGTGGCAAGTAATGAAGTCATGGCAGCACAAGGAGTAAAATACTGTTTAACTGAATCTCAGTGACCAATCACGCATGTATTCTTATCCCATTGCTTAAATTGCCCATAACTAGCATTTGGATACCAAAGGAGTTCTTGGTCAGCTGCTTTGTAAGGTTAAGCTGTTACTACCAACCTCAAAGATGCTGTGTGCACATCCATTTAAAAAATATCTAGCCTCATGGTAGCCAAAGTGTGTGCATGGTGTAAATCAGTTCCAGACTTGGGTCCTCTCATCTGAAAAGGATGAAAGCATGTATTTTGTGCATTTGTACAATGGGGAAAATCATTGAAGTATGTAGAATTTCTGCTGTGGAGAGAAAATACAGGTTGTTAAAACTTGGTAAAAGAACAATAGAAGAGAATATTCATTTTAGCATGGCCTGAGTTTCTTTCCAGCTACCATTTGCCTCTTCTCAGTGCTCTTCTACCAACTGACAGTGTTTGAGATTACACCTTACTTTATGGGGAAAATTGAAGTCTTGTCTTAGTGATACCTTTAATAGTCTTTGTATTTTAAAATAAACTTTAATCTAAAAAAATATGTTTCCAGGATCATGCTGAATGCCAAATCAGTGTGTGATTTGTGCTGTACAAGCTGACTTCTTTAGCAGCACAAGTGTTCTGTACTAAAAAAGTAAAGGAAAAGTAGCCCATTTTGTGATCAGTAGTAGCTGCTCAAAAAGAGAATACTACCATCAGGATGAGATGCTAAGTTAAAATCTGTATACATATATGCACATCCATACAATTATTGTTTTGATGACCAATTTTTAAAGGTAATGAGAAAAGGGAGCAAGGTCTGACCAACAACAGGATATTTAATTTTTATATATATAAATCTATGCAAAATGTAATATATGATTTATGGAAAGTGTACAAAATTTATTCTGTTTTCTTCATGAGATTTATGTTCTGACCAGTGGCACGGCATAACAAACAGGAGCTACAAAGGTTGAAAAGGAAGGGATGATGAAGAGTAAAATGATAATCTGATGTCATTGGTTGCTTGCATTTGTTAGGTGGTTGTTCAGCTATTTTAACTGTTCATAGTTAGAGTTCTCCTTTGCCATTTGTCACTTCTATGACATTGTGAATATTGCTGCAGGGGGGGAAGGGTCTTAAGGAATGATTTGAAAGTTGAGAGGAAGGGGGCTTTCTTTATGGGCTGCAGGCAGGGTTACGTTCTGTATAGAGAAACAGAAAATATGAAAAAGAAGACAGACAGGAAAATACACTTGATACAGGTATCATTGGTAGCTGCAGTAGGTTCAGGATGAGAGAGAGATGGCTCTTTGGTGGAGCAGAGGGTTTGTGCTGGGTCTGCAAGGCAATTAGGAAAAAATCTGAAGTTAATATAATGGGAAAGAATAAGCCAATGGTGCAGCTCAGGGAGAAGCTTATTTATAGCAGTTTATTGATGGGAGGAGAATATTAATTTTAGCAGCATCTTTTGAATGCTCTTCAGGAGAATTACATGGGTATAAGAGAGGCCAAAGCACAGTACAATGACAAAAGGACTTGTCATCAGAAAGCAAGGTTAACATTTTTAAACTCTCAAGACTTGGAAACTTTTTTCTTTCATCATTCATAGTGCTTTGATATTTCTGTGCATCACAAGAAAATAGTTGCTTGGTAAAATAAAGATTATTTGCATAAAATATTTCAAAGTTATCTAAGTAAAGAAATACAAAACAATTTGATTAATCTTCTCTGAGTATTTCTAATATTTGAGTGTTGACTGGGAAAGCCCAACGTTTATGTGTGAAAGAAAAATTAACCATTTAATTTGGCTCTTTAAAATCAGTCTGCTGGCAATGCAGCTATTTTAAACTATTTTTGCTAAGTTCTTTCAACTAATACTGACAAGCAAGCACCAGCTCTGCTGGATGGAGTTTCCACACTGCTTGTGAGTACTGGTCTACCTGCAGCATGGTACAGTAACTTTGCCCACAGAAGAGATCTTTCTTAAAGCAGTTGAGCAAATATGGTAAGCCACTCAACAAGCTTCATCTCTTTAGGACCAGAAAATGTATGAGCTGTGTGTGCATTCTTAGGGCAATCTCAATTATTGGAATAAAAATTTCTGATCAGAATGAAGGAGCTACCTGATAAAGGTCTGTTGCTAAACACCTCTAAACCAGCAAGAATATTGTAGTGTCTGTATCCTTCCTGGACTAAGACGAAAGAGAACAAAGGTATCTTAGGAATTCTGCAAATTCTGGACTTACCTACTTTCTCATTAATATCCTTTGATGAAAGACCAAGATCCCAGTAGTAGCTAGAAGATGTCCATTGACAAAAAATTTTTTGAGAAGACATTTAACTGTTGTTCTTAAAGAGGTTGTTGGTCTTGCTTACGTAAAGAGATAGTTAATGTTTCTGTGATGAGCAGCAATGGATTTGTCATCCTGTCCTGAGGGCCTCATGGAGAAGGCCTAGAAATATCCTGTTCTTATTTTGGGTTGGATAAAAAGGCAGCTGCAGAAAAGTCTGATTTGCTAGTGTTGGGTTACAATCTGTGGCAAAGAGCCTTGATAAAAACAGCATACACACCTAACCAAAATTTAACTAACTTGCTAAAACACATTTAATACAGTGTGTGTTCTATCAAATGTTTTAAAACAGTATCTCATAAGGAAGCAACAGTGGAAACTACTTGTACAGAACGTCAGGGGGAACAGGGACATTTTGGGGTGCATGAGACCCTGCAGGTATCAGCACTTCAGATGTTAACATCTGGAATTCCAAGCATGGAAATACTGATGAGTGACCTCTATGTTAATATGCAGTTAATGAAGACCAAGCACTTAGGTATTTCTTTCAGCTTTCTTTCCCTTCCAGCTACCTTCTGCAGGACAGAGGTGTTTCTTTGGGAGACCAGAATTTTATACAACAGCTGGGGCATTTGTCCCTTCCTGTGGCTGATCGAGAAGAGACACAGGACAAGGATTGCTAGTATTTCAGCTGCTTCCA